CTACTACACACTTATGTGCTCCATCTCACAGTATAGTTTTATTTCATTCATTTTGTGTACAATGCTTTAAAAAAAACCTCTTTCTCAGAAGCATATTATATATACCTCCAACCAATATCTCATTGCATGCATTTCTATTAGGTAGATGGGGATGCCTTGAGCCAATTTTAAAAGGCTTCCTTTCAATATCACCTCATGGGCTATCTGTCCTCTCCTTCATTCCACATGTGTTAGAAAAGAAATGTAGGTTCTCAGATTACAATTGTAATAATCAAATGTGTAGGTTACTTGAACTATCTTCTCATGGGAGGTTAGAGGCAATGAAATTTGTGTACAGTAGCACAAGCAGTTGCAATATCAGTTCATTGTGTTTAGTGTGGTACAAGGGGCTGCTATTAATATTCATACTTTTATATCCCACTCAAAAGGATATGAGTAGTGACAGAGAATGAACTCCCTATCAAAAAAAAAAAGGAAAGAAGAGAGGAGGGGGAGAACTTTTTATTAATCTTATGCACACTAAATTAACTCAGTGTATCCAGATGTATAATAGTTTTCGATTTAAAATAGAGTGGCAGATGGATGGTCACAACTACAATGGTCAAACAACACTAATTATCAGGGGAGAATAGAAAAACTGTACAGAGCTAAACTACTGCAATGTACTCTATTATACTGTCCTATCCCCAAAAGCTGTTCAGAGGATTCTGGTAGAGCTGAACAAAGTGACAGGTCACTAAAAGCATAATTCACTATGCATAGAGAGCATAACACACTCTACCATCTGTACAGGTTTCATATTGTCTTCCTGGTAACAGACTAGTTATGACCTATGATGCCATTAAAAATCATGCCAACATACTTAAGGGGCTATCTGTTCTCATATGCCTATTTGCAAATTGACTAAGATATCTTTCTGGACTGTTACCATCTGTCTACAAAATAGGACATTTCAAGGATGCAGAACAGCCTCCTGGAAACTGAATTCATCCAGATGTTGTGGACTACAACACTCATCAGCCTCAACCAGAGTGATAAATTGTCTTGGTTGATAGGCATTCTAAACCAAAACACCTAGCGAACACAAGTGAAGGTAAACTCCAGCTAACACGGCATAGCCTTTTCATTAATTCATGTTGTTAGCCAAACTAATTGATTGTTCTGGTTGAGTGTGTGAAAAATGTCACCTCACTTGACAATGCATCTGCAACTGTAAAACATCTATTTTAACTTTAATATTCCATATTATTCTAGCATTTTGGGTTAAGATAACAAGGAGAACCTGCTAGAATTGAGCAAGTTTTGCTGTCATTTTAAACAACTGCAGAGGTCATATCTAGAGTAAAACGAGAAAACTGGGTGTTCTCATTTCAATGATCTGTTATTCGAATTTTATCTAGACATTTCATAAATTATCAGACACAAAATGTCAGAATGGAGTAGTGAGCAAGTTGAATTTTTAAAAACTCAAAGCCCCATTCTTGACTCAAGGGAAAATTTTGCCTCTAGCTTTTGTACATTTGTCAGATGTGATGTTCTCAAGGTTCTCTCTCAAAAAGGACAAGGAAAATAGCATTATGCATTCACATGTGAAAGCTATCCATACCAAACAGGATTACTAAATAATGAATAGCAAACGAATGCCAAGCTAATGTGCTATCAATAAGATCAAATGTAAGTAAAATCTCATCCAGAATTTAGTTCTGCAACCTATTCTAAAAGAGAGGATTCATTCTTGGAACACATGAAGTACTAATGATCTCTTCAGAAGTCAAAGCCACTCTCCTCTGCTTTTCTTTAGTGCTACATTCAGGCTAACTATCATATGACTACAGCAGCACTGAATAAACATGCATAGGATAGGGCTGTAATTCCCATTAAGTTGAATGAAATGTACTCCATGTGAGAGGAGTACATTTCATTCAACTTAATGTTGTGGGTGCCAGACAGAGAAGGGAGAGATGGTCTGATGATTGCCTTTTTTAAGCAGTACTTTTATGGGGAGGGGGGAGGCATATGCTCCATCACCAGAGAAGGAAAGCACAGAGCATTTAAACAATAATTGTTCTACAATACACAAGTCCTATGAAAGAGTGTCATTTTTCAGACAAAAAAGGATAATAAAAACCTTTAAGTGCGACATAAAATGAGACAAGCATTAGAGAGAAAAGAGAGTTATGTTCTGCAGCAGACTTCCCCAACTTAGTTCCCTCCAGAATGGGTGTACTACAACTTCCATCAGCCCTAGAAAGGGTGGCGTTAGCTGACAGATCAGTGATGTTGCAGACATTATCCAACTGGAGCTCAACATGCTTGCAAGAGCCATTTCACAGAGCATTAACTTCTCTAGAAGGAGCGTTTAAAAAAGGTTGAGGGGAAAGACACAAATCACACTTTCCCATGATAAAATATTATGACGCGAGTAAAAAGAAAATGCAATAACCTCACAGCAGCAGGACTGTCGTGATGAAAGATGCCTGGATCCCTCTAGAAAATGTACATTTATTGAACAAGATGATGCAGGCTTCCTTCTTTGTAACTACAACCAATCCTCAAAAACTAAGTACTTGAATTATGGGACAGGTGTTTAAAAACAGGGTCAGACTTCCCAGCGAAAGGACTCTTCTGATTAAACTTTTACTCTTCCAGATGTTTGAGACTTCAATTCCCAGAATTCCCGACTCTTGGCTAAGCTAGCAGGGGCTTCTGGTAATGAAAGTCCTAAACACCCAGAGGATCAAATGTCGTGATCTACTATTTCAATATACTTTGATAGTGGTTCCCTATCTTTGGTCCTTCAGTTCCCAGAATTCCCGACTACTGGTCAAGTTAGCTGGGGCTTCTGGTAGTAGAAGTCCTAAACACCTGGAGGATCAAACACTGAGATCTACTATTCTAATATATTTTGACAGTAGTGATTTGAGCATCAGCTCCCAGAATTCTGACAATTGGCCAAGTTAGCTGGGATTTCTGGTAATAGAAGGCCTAAACACCTGGAAGATCAAATGCTGAAATCTACTATTCCAATATATTTTGACGATGGTTCCCTATCTTGGCAAAAATATGATAGCTAGGACCCTACATTGGTTGCACAACACAGGTCTGAATTAATGAGGGGAACATGTGCACGAGACTGCACAGCAAGTGAGAGATGCAGCTGCGTCAGAATCGTGGCAACTTTGATTGCCAGAAAGTGGGGGAGGGAACATTTCTATCCTGTTTACCATCTTCGTAAGCTGTTGTTTATCGTTTAACATTAAATAAGTCTTACATTACTTCACCCTTATCCTCTCCCACCTGAATTAAATTACTTCACTGCTATCCTGTTGCAGCTGCATCTCTCACTCACTCCACTGTCTCGCGCACATCTTTCCTTCATTTATTCTGACCCGCGTTGCACAACTAGTGTAGTGTAGGATCCCAGCTATCATACTTTTATCCCTATTTTTGGTCCTCCAAATGTTTGCGAGTCAGCTCCCAGAATGACTGACTATTGGCCAAGTTAACTGGAATGCCCTACCCGCAGACATCAGGCAGGCCCCTTCGTTGCTGGAATTCCGGAGGAAGGTCAAGACGTGGCTCTATGAACAGGCGTTCGGTCAACAAGGCAACTGAACTCATGAAGACGGTATAAATGAACAAAGGAATGGTAGAAGGATTATGAGAACGGAATCTGATTTTTACTGAGGCGTTGATGACCACGTTGTTTTGTCTTGTATTGTCTGTCATGTATGTTGTGTTTTAACTGATTGTTATTGTTATATAAATTGCATTGTAAACCGCATTGAGTCGCCGATTTAGGCTGAAAAATGCGGTATAAAAATAAAGCGAATAAATAAATAAATAAATAAATAAATAATAAATTAACTGGGGTTTCTGGTATTAGAAGGACTAAACACCTGGAAGATCAAACGTTGAGATCTACTATTCCAATATATTTTGATAGTGGTTCCCTATCTTTGGTCCTCCAAGTGTTTGGGAGGAAGGACCCAAAATTCCTGACTATTGGCCAAGTTAACTGGGGCTTCTGGTAGTAGAAGGTCTAAACGCCTGGTAGATCAAACATTGAGCTCTACTATTCCAATGTATTTTGACAGTGGTTGACAGTATCTTTGGTCCTCCAAGTGTTTTGGGAGTCAGCACCCTGAATTCCTGACTATTGGCCAAGTTAGCTGGGACTTCTGGGGACTAAAGCCCCAAACACCTGGAGGAACAAAGGCTGGAAATTTGTACATTATAGTGTCATTGTGTCCAACCTTTGGTCCTTTGGATGTTTTGGACTTCAGTTCCTGATTCCTTACCATTAGACAAGCAGCCTAGGGCTTCTGGGAGTTGGAGTCCCAAACACTTGGAGAGTCAAAGATTGGACACTATTGTTATAGTGGATCCCAATCTTTGATCTTCATAGTTTTTGGACTACAGCTTCCAGAATTATTGACTCGTGGCCAACCCAAATCCAAAACACCTGGAGGACTACTGTTATAATAGTGTTGATGCTTTTATTAAAATACAGAAAAGCACATGTAAGTAGTTTACCTTTGTTACCTTTCCACTGCCTACCTGTTGCTCAGATACAAATTAATGGTCAGGAACTACTGTCATGACACAGTTTCAATGCATATATTAAATGGGAATATGTAGCATTTCAAGGAATCAAACTGCTGCCTATTTGTTGCTCAATTACAAATAAACAGACCTGGTGTATCAGGCCTGGGCAAACTTCGGCCCTCCCTCCAGGTGTTTTGGACTACCGGCTGTTAGGAATTGTGGGAGTTGTAGTCCAAAACACCTGGAGGGAGGGCCGAAGTTTTCCCAGGCCTAGGGCATATCATGGCTACAGCCCTAAAGGGCAGGAGAGGACACTAAGCCTGTAGGGAGGAGGAGGAAGAAAGGGCAGCCACAATTGCCAGAGGAAGGCCTGCCCTAAACTGGGAGGAACGCGGGAAGAGGCGAAGGAAGGCCCGGCGGGGGTCTGAGGGGATGCAAGCCATTACTATTACCCGGTAGCCAGGAGGAGGAGGAGACTCGCGCTGCTTCAGCCGCTTCCGCCTTTGCCGCTTCCGCCCGCCTCGCTTGGCCACGCCCCCTTCGCCGCAAGGGCCGCTGGGAAGCGTGGTTGGCGGGCCAGTGCTGCCTAAGCCAGACATGACCTGTTTATATAAATGCTCGCGTCTAGGAAGGGCGCTGCACCTTTCCATTCCTGCTTTCTCTTTCCTTCGTAAATTTCCCCCTGCCCTTTCTCTTCCCTCCCTCTTTTTTCCTCCATCCCTTCCTTTTCCTTCTTTTCCTCTTTCTTTCCATATTTCTCCCTACTTTCGTAGACAGGACACCTTTTCCCAGTGACATCACTATAGGCCACTTCACCTAGCAACAGCCAATCCAGTGACATCACAGATGGCCACCTCACCTAGCAACAGCCAATCCTTCAAATAGCAACAACCAATCCAGTGACATCACAGACGGCCACCTCACCTAGCAACAGCCATTCCAATGAAATTGCAGAGGGCCACTTCACCTAGCAACAGCCAAATCCTTCAGATAGCAACAGCCAATCCAGTGACATCGCAGAGGGCTACTTCACCTAGCAACCGCCAATCTTTCAGATAGCAACAGCCAATCCAGTGTCATCGCAGAGGGCCACTTCACCTAGCAACAGCCAAATCCTTCAGATAGCAACAACCAATCAAGTGACATTGCAGAGGGCCACTTCACCTAGCAACAGCCAATCTTTCAGATAGCAACAGCCAATCCAGTGACATCGCAGAGGGCTACTTCACCTAGCAACAGCCAAATCCTTCAGATAGCAACAGCCAAATTCTTCAGATAGCAACAGCCAATCCAGTGACATCGCAGAGGGCTACTTCACCTAGCAACAGCCAATCCTTCAGATAACAACAGCCAATCCAGTGACATCACAGACTGCCATCTCATCTAGCAACAGCCAATCCTTCAAATAGCAACAGCCATTCCAATGGCATCACAGAGGGCCACTTCACCTTGTTGTTGTTCATTCATTCAGTCGTCTCCGACTCTTTGTGACCTCATGGACCAGCCCACGCCAGAGCTCCCTGTCGGCCGTCACCAATCTTTCAGATAGCAACAGCCAATCCAGTGACATCGCAGAGGGCTACTTCACCTAGCAACAGCCAATCTTTCAGATAGCAACAGCCAAACCAGTGTCATCGCAGAGGGCTACTTCACCTAGCAACAGCCAATCCTTCAGATAACAACAGCCAATCCAGTGACATCACAGACTGCCATCTCATCTAGCAACAGCCAATCCTTCAAATAGCAACAGCCATTCCAATGGCATCACAGAGGGCCACTTCACCTTGTTGTTGTTCATTCATTCAGTCGTCTCCGACTCTTTGTGACCTCATGGACCAGCCCACGCCAGAGCTCCCTGTCGGCCGTCACCAATCTTTCAGATAGCAACAGCCAATCCAGTGACATCGCAGAGGGCTACTTCACCTAGCAACAGCCAATCCTTCAGATAGCAACAGCCAATCCAGTGACATTGCAGAGGGCCACTTCACCTAGCAACAGCCAATCCTTCAGATAACAACAACCAATCCAGTGACATCACAGACTGCCACCTCATCTAGCAACAGCCAATCCTTCAGATAGCAACAGCCAATCCAGTGACATTGCAGAGGGCCACTTCACCTAGCAACAGCCAATCCTTCAGATAATAACAACCAATCCAGTGACATCACAGACTTCCACCTCATCTGGCAACAGCCAATCCTTCAGATAGCAACAGCCATTCCAATGACATCACAGAGGGCCACTTCACCTAGCAACAGCCAATCCTTCAGATAAGAGCCAATCCAGTGACATCACAGATGGCCATCTCACCTAGCAACAGCCAAATCCTTCAGATAGCAGCAGCCAAATCCTTCAGATATGTATGACACATAATGCAGTTTCAAATATTTGAGATGTAGGAGAAAACTCTTCCTGCTGCCACTCTGATACGTATGTTTTGCAGCTGTTGTGTACCTTCTCAATTCCATTTACATTGATGGTCAGTGACTCCCCGGAGTTTAAGCCTGGACTCTTCCATCCCTATGTAGAGATGCCAAGGAATGAAACTTGGGACCTTTTACATTCAAAGCTCTGACTACTAACCACAAGTGAATGCCTTCAAGTCATTCATTGAATTATGGCAACTCCATCCATTTCATGCAGTTTTCCTAGGCAAGGGGTATTCAGAAGTGATGTTGCCAGTTCCTTCCTTTAAAACATGTTTTACAATACCCAGCATTCATTGGCAGTCTCCCATTCAAGTACTAATCAGGCCTGACTCCTGAATGTACCTTTACTCTGTAATTGAGCATTACATGTCTTGTCCGACTGCTCATTAGGATATGTGACTCAGAAAGTCAAATTGACAATGATCTGAGGCAGTGGTTCTCAACCTGTGGGTTTCCAGATGTTTTGGCATTCAATTCCCAGAAATCCTAACAGCTGGTAAACTGGCTGGGATTTCTGGGAGTTGTAGGACAAAACACCTGGGGACCCACAGGTTGAGAACCACTGATCTAAGGCTTGCTTTCCAATGAAACACCAGAATTTAAAATTAATTTGCTTAAATAATTAATATATTGGGAATTGTCATTTTCTGGGCTTTCTATTATCTGAAAAAAGCAACTTTCCAAAGTTCTGATATGGAGTTATTTCCCTTGTAAAACCTTCTCAGTGGGTTTGGTTACTCGGTCATAGAAACTTTTTAGCCTGATTTAACAGAAGCAGGTGGCTTGTTCTTGAAAAGATAGCTCGGACCTGATAGATTTATGCTTCCTTTGATGGTAGAAATCAAGATTATGAAAGACTGACCCTTTGGGCTTGCTCAGCCCTCAGACACTCCATCTGAGAGGCAAGGGCCGCCTTTCTGCATTGGGTTTCTTTTCTGTCTCTGCTTCTGTTTGATGCCGCTTATCTGATCCTGGTGAGCGTGTTCATGTGTTACTGAAGAATGGCAGTGCCACATTGCAATGTCAGAAATCACCAAACAGCAGGATCTCTTGAGGACTGCCAGAGCTGGAAGGCTGATGCTGATAAGAAGACATTGACAAAATTGAAAATGCACATGTTTTGAGGAAAGCTGGAGCCAATGGGGGAGATATCTGGACAGACATGCTCAGCTGATTTATGGGATTGTCAGAACCCAGCTCTGGTTAAAAATCAGAACAGAAGAGTTCTGCCTTTAACTTTTTGGAACCTTACAAATTTGTGGCTTTTGTGCCCCTTGACTCCTGCAGGCATCCTGGACCGTTACTTTTCTGGCTAGCCAAAAAGTGGGTGGTTCACCTTTTAAGTAAGCTTCCGGTGGGGTGAGGCAGGTGAGGGCTGTACTGTTTTAACAAGAAAAGTATTCACCTTCTCCCCGTGAAATAAAACTAGAAGCAGACTTGTGACAACTTCTGGGTTGGTTGATTGGTTGGTTGGTTTGTTTCCTTTTGCCAGTGTGTGAGGTCCCAGGATTGCCCGCCTTGAGCAATAGTGGCCCATCCCTGGCCTAGATAGAAGTATGTTCCAATTCCAGTTAAGGAGGGACAGTCCCAATTAATCCCTTGCCATCTCAACATTTTATCTGCTTTCAAAATACCCCAGTTCTCCTCCCCCCCCCCCAAACTAAACTGAAGAGAAAAGGGAGTTAAATCTTCCCCTTCCCAGCAGACTTATGCGAAAGGAAACTGCTGCAGCCTCTTCTGGCTTGCATGTTCTTTCTCATTAATCTTTAGCCATCTTGACCACAGTCTGATGTTATTTGGCTAAATGTGCCCCCATTTTCATCTGTAAATCGTTGGAGAGTACAATATATTGACTTCTGCCCACAGTCAGCTGGCCGTCCTTTGGATCAAAATTGTTCTATGTATTGTCGAAGGCTTTCATGGCCGGAATCACTGGGTTGTTGTAGGTTTTATCGGGCTATATGAATATATAGAGCAGGGGTCCTCAAACTTTTTAAACAGAGGGCCAGGTCACAGCCCGTCACACTGTAGGAGGGCCGGATTATAATTTGGAAAAAAAAAAATGAATGAATTCCTACGCACACTGCACATATCTTATTTGTAGTGCAAAAAACACTTAAAACAATACAGAATGAAGAACAATTTTAACAAACATAAAATTATTAGTATTTCAATGGGAAGTGTGGGCCCACTTTTGGCTGATGAGATAGGAATTGTTGTTGTTGATGTTGTTGCGTGCTTTCAGGTCGTTTCAGACTTAGGCTGACTCTGAATGAGGGCCGGGTAAATGATCTTAGAGGGCCTCATCCAGCCCCCGGGCCTTAGTTTGAGGACCCCTGGTCTAGAGGCATTCTCTCCTGAAGTTTCGCCTGCCTCTATGGCAAGCATCCTCAGAGGTAGTGAGATCTGTTGGAACTAGGAAAAAGGGTTTATATATCTGTGGAATGACCAGGGTGGGACAAAGGATTATTGTCTGCTGGAGCAGTTGAAACATTCACACCTAGCTCCAGCAGACAAGAGTCCTTTGTCCCACCCTGGTCATTCCACAGATATATAAACCCTTTTTCCTAGTTCCAACAGACCTCACTACCTCTGAGGATGGTTGCCATAGATGCAGGCGAAACGTCAGGAGAGAATGCCTCTAGACCATGGCCATATAGCCCGAAAAAACCTACAACAACCCAAAATTGTTTTGTTTGAATGTAGAGTTTTTGAAACATTTATAATAAGCAACAAACCTTTCTTTTGAAGATTTTAGGACAGGCCACAGTTACCTTCATTGCATCCAGTAATACCTTGCTCTCTGAATCCCCACAGTACAACATCTACGTGTTAAATTTTCATGAATTCTACCTCTTCCCTTCAGATTTTACCTGACCTTATCTGTGATATGTTTTCTGTCTCTTCTGCTGTCCCTGCACAAGCACCCCCAATATGAACAAGTGAACACTATCATTACACAATCCTTAAGCATCAAACACATTTGTTTTTCTCTATCAATCTTTGATCCTCCCTAGAGTCTCATGTCCCCAATGGTACACCTCCTTCTCCTTTGGAGCCATGAGAACTGGTTTCTCTATTCCTCATCTTGAAGGT